TTAATAACTTTGTATGTATTGTATATGAGGGCCACAGGTTTTTCAGCTATATTGCTGTCATGTGTTTCTACCCTCTTTAAATAAAGTTGTTCATTCATGCATTCTTCAGGATTAGTGTAAGATTACAAATACAGCTATATATAAAGAGAATTGATCATATTTCACTGACATTAAGCTCCGCCTTTCTTCTCTTTATATATAGCTGTATTTGTAATCTTACACTAATCCTGAAGATGACTACAATCTAGTCGAAACGTAGATTCAATAAATCAAAACAAAATGTTATTCGGAGTTACTGTTCTTTTGTATTTTATAAAAATCCGTTTACGTCATCATGTATTACTATTACTATTAGTGTTATTGTGCTATCAAGTGATGGCCAAGTAATATGGTTTTTGTTACATTTTCAGTATTAGTTGGTTATAATGTATGGTAATTAGTCACGCGACCACATTGCAATCCACTATTTTCCACCAATGAAATGAGTCCCTAATGCGACTGTGATTTGATGAAGCCAACATGCCATAAATCATAATTGAAAGTTAAGTTAATCTGGAATAATTGTTGTATCGCATTTTTGCCGAAGTCACAAGTATTTCACTAGTTTAAAGAGTGTTCTAAAGAGTTTTAAAAAACTCATTAATAATTCAGGAGGAAAACACAAAGAAAAATCATGAGCGTGTCGTGGTTTTATATGTGATAAAAAATCATGTTAATTTACATAAACTTTAGCCTTGATTTTCTCGGTTTAGACGAAGTTTATTTTAAAAATTACTTCGCAATGAACTCGTAAAAGATGAGTCGTTTTTAAACCAATTTAAAGCACTTGTAATCGTGTTTTATCACATATAAAACACTCCGCTACGCGTCATGTTTTATATGTGATAAAACACTCCTACGCGTGCTTTAAATAGTACATCTACCAACATTGTTTTCGCCAGATTTTCAAGTCTTTGATAATATACGGATAAATACGAATAAACTTGCATCGATTACACTCGATTGCACTTTCCACGTCCCGCCATGACGGCCAATGAATATCGCCATTGACCATTCACACCTTCGCTACGCCACAAAGACGCCCCCCCC